GTGTCGACAGCGAGGCGGGCATCAGCCTCACGCCGCGCAATGCGTTTGAACAATAGGCCGCAGAGCTGACTCGACGTGCTCGCGGAGAGGAACGACCTGTTCGCGGAGTGACGTCGGTGCGGCGACAGGCGCCATTTCATCATTGCCCAGGAGCCGCGCGATTTCAGCCTGCGCCTCGGCCAGCTCAGCCTTCAGGGCTTCATGCTCGGTCTTTCCAGCGACCGCGAATGCAACCTCCTCTGCTGCAGTGGCGTCCATACCAGCCTCAACAGCTGCAGCCGCCACCGTGCTCGTGTTCGCACTCTCCATCGCACAAGCGCGAGTCGTAATGACCGCAGCCTGTGCCGGCGTTGCGCCGCGCGCCTCGACAGCACGCGATGTCTCGATCGCGGCCACCAGGCCAGGCACAGCAGACTCTTCCACGCCAGCAGCTGTGACGGCTGCGGCAATCTCCGCCTTCGACGGTTGGTCCGCGGACAGAGTGGCCAGCGCGTCTGCCACAGCAGCGGCACTCGAGTCATCAAGACCCGTGTCGACAGAGAGGCGGGCATCGGCCTCACGCCGCGCAATGCGCTTGTCTTCGAGAGGCCGCAGAGTTGTCTCGACGTGCTCGCGGAGAGCAACGACCTGATCGCGGAGTGACGTCGGTGCGGCGACAGGCGCCATTTCATCATTGCCCAGGAGCCGCGCGATCTCAGCCTGTGCCTCGGCCAGCTCAGCCTTCAGGGCGTCAAGCTCGGCCTTGCCCACAACAGCAAACGCCAACTCCTCTGCTGCGGCAGCATCCATACCAGTTTCAACAGCTGCAGCCGCCACCATTGCTGTGTCCACACCCTCCATCGCACGGATTTGCGCCGCAATGAGCGCAGCCTGTACTGGCGTCGCTCCACGCGAGCTCGCACCCCGTACAGCCACCACATCAGCCGCCAGCGCCTCTACGCCGGACGCGTCCATACCAGCCGCGACAGCTGCTTCAGCCACATTGGCTACATTCGGCACACCCTCGAGCGACGCTACTGCAACCGCAAACATCGCCCCCTCATCGGGCGACATGCCGTGCTCCACAGCAAAACCCTTGTCGGCTTCCATCAGCTCGGCACGACGCAGGCGTTGTGGCTCGAGCTGCTCAGTCACAATTTGCTCGACCGTGGCAAGCTGCTCACCAAACGGCGCTGCTTCAGCCACATCTGTCCCAACAACGCGCGCCATCATCGCTCGAGCTGCCTCCAGCTCGGTCTTTCCAGCGACCGCAAATGCAACCTCCTCTGCTGCAGTGGCGTCCATACCAGCCTCAACAGCTGCAGCCGCCACCGTGCTCGTGTTCGCACTCTCCATCGCACGGGTTTGCGCCGCAATGAGCGCAGCCTGTGCCGGCGTTGCTCCACGTGCCTCGGCAGCACGCGATGTCTCGATCGCAGCCACGAGACCAGGCACAGCAGACTCTTCCACGCCAGCAGCTGTGACGGCTGCGGCAATCTCCGCCTTCGACGGTTGGTCCGCGGACAGAGTGGCCAGCGCGTCTGCCACAGCAGCGGCACTCGAGTCATCAAGGCCTGCGTCGCCAGCGAGGCGGGCATCGGCCTCACGCCGCGCAACGCGCTTCTCCTCAAGAGGCCGCAGAGTTGACTCGACGTGCTCGCGGAGTGCAACGACCTGTTCGCGGAGTGATGTTGGCGCGGCGCTGGAAGCCATGTCATCATTGCCCAGGAGCCGCGCGATCTCAGCCTGTGCCTCGGCCAGCTCAGCCTTCAGGGCGTCAAGCTCAGTCTTGCCCACAACAGCAAACGCCACCTCCTCTGCTGCAGTGGCGTCGACACCAACCTCAACAGCTGCAGCCGCCACCATGGCTGTGTCTGCGGCACCAATTGCATGGCTCCGCGCCGCGATGACCGCAGCCTGTGCCGGGGTCGCTCCGCGCGCCTCGGCAGCACGCGATGTCTCGATAGCAGCCACAAGACCAAGCACAGCAGACTCTTCCACGCCAGCAGCTGTGACGGCTGCGGCAATCTCCGCGTTCGATGGCTTGTCCGCGGACAGAGTGGCCAGGGCGTCTGCCACAGCAGCGGCACTCGAGTCATCGAGACCCGTGTCGACAGCGAGGCGGGCATCAGCCTCACGCCGCGCAATGCGCTTCTCCTCAAGAGGCCGCAGAGCTGACTCGACGTGCTCGCGGAGTGCAACGACCTGTTCGCGGAGTGACGTCGGTGCGGCGACAGGCGCCATTTCATCATTGCCCAGGAGCCGCGCGATTTCAGCCTGCGCCTCGGCCAGCTCAGCCTTCAGGGCTTCATGCTCGGTCTTTCCAGCGACCGCGAATGCAACCTCCTCTGCTGCAGTGGCGTCCATACCAGCCTCGACAGCTGCAGCCGCCATCGTGGTCGTGTTCGCACTCTCCATCGCACGGGTTTGCGCCGCAATGAGCGCAGCCTGTGCCGGCGTTGCTCCACGTGCCTCGGCAGCACGCGATGTCTCGATCGCAGCCACCAGGCCAGGCACAGCAGACTCTTCCACGCCAGCACATGTGACGGCTGCGGCAATCTCCGCCTTCGACGGTTGGTCCGCGGACAGAGTGGCCAGCGCGTCTGCCACAGCAGCGGCACTCGAGTCATCAAGGCCTGCGTCGCCAGCGAGGCGGCCATCAGCCTCACGCCGCGCAATGCGCTTCTCTTCGAGAGGCCGCAGAGTTGACTCGACGTGCTCGCGGAGAGCAACGATCTGTTCGCGGAGTGACGTCGGTGCGGCGACAGACGCCATTTCATCATTGCCCAGGAGCCGCGCGATCTCAGCCTGCGCCTCGGCCAGCTCAGCCTTCAGGGCTTCAAGCTCAGTCTTGCCCACAACAGCAAAAGCCACCTCCTCTGCTGCGGCAGCATCCATACCAGCCTCGACAGCTGCAGCCGCCACCATTGCTGTGTCCACACTCTCCATCACACCAGCACGAGTCGCAATGACCGCAGCCTGTGCCGGTGTTGCTCCACGCGCCTCGGCAGCACGCGATGTCCCAATCGCAGCCACGAGACCAGGCACAGCAGACTCTTCCACGCCAGCGGCCGTAACGGCTGCGGCAATCTCCGCGTTCGATGGCTTGTCCGCGGACAGAGTGGCCAGGGCGTCTGCCACAGCAGCGGCACTCGAGTCATCCAGACCCGTGTCGACAGAGAGGCGGGCATCAGCCTCACGCCGCGCAATGCGCTTGTCTTCGAGAGGCCGCAGAGTTGTCTCGACGTGCTCGCGGAGAGCAACGACCTGATCGCGCAGTGATGTCGGTGCGGCAACAAACGCCATATCATCATTGCCCAGGAGCTGTGCAATCTCAGCCTGTGCCTCGGCCAGCTCAGCCTTCAGGGCTCCATGCTCGGCCTTGCCCACAACAGCAAATGCAACCTCCTCTGCTACCGTGGCGTCCATACCAGTCTCGACAGCTGCAGCCGCCATCGTGGTCGTGTTCGCACTCTCCATCGCACGGGTTTGCGCCGCAATGAGCGCAGCCTGTGCCGGCGTTGCTCCACGTGCCTCGGCAGCACGCGATGTCTCGATCGCAGCCACGAGACCAGGCACAGCAGACTCTTCCACGCCAGCAGCTGTGACGGCTGCGGCAATCTCCGCGTTCGATGGCTTGTCCGCGGACAGAGTGGCCAGGGCGTCTGCCACAGCAGCGGCACTCGAGTCATCCAGACCCGTGTCGACAGCGAGGCGGGCATCAGCCTCACGCCGCGCAATGCGCTTCTCTTCGAGAGGCCGCAGAGTTGTCCCTACATACTCGCGGAGTGCAACGACCTGCTCGCGGAGAGATGTCGGTGTAGTTCCAGCCGACATCGACGCAGGCAGCAGCCGCGCGATCTCAGCCTGCGCCTCGGCCAGCTCAGCCTTCAGGGCGTCAAGCTCGGCCTTGCCCACAACAGCAAATGCCACCTCCTCTGCTGCAGTGGCGTCAATACCAGCCTCGATAGCTGCAGTCGCCACCGTGGTCGTGTCCGCACCCTCCATCGCACGGATTTGCGCCGCAATGAGCGCAGCCTGTACTGGCGTCGCTCCACGCGAGCTCGCACCCCGTACAGCCACCACATCAGCCGCCAGCGCCTCTACGCCGGACGCGTCCATACCAGCCGCGACAGCTGCTTCAGCCACATTGGCTACATTCGGCACACCCTCGAGCGACGCTACTGCAACCGCAAACATCGCCCCCTCATCGGGCGACATGCCGTGCTCCACAGCAAAACCCTTGTCGGCTTCCATCAGCTCGGCACGACGCAGGCGTTGTGGCTCGAGCTGCTCAGTCACAATTTGCTCGACCGTGGCAAGCTGCTCACCAAACGGCGCTGCTTCGGCCACGTCTGTCCCAATAACGCGCGCCATCATCGTTCGAGCTGCCTCCAGCTCGGTCTTTCCAGCGACCGCAAATGCAACCTCCTCTGCTGCAGTGGCGTCCATACCAGCCTCAACAGCTGCAGCCGCCACCGTGCTCGTGTTCGCACTCTCCATCGCACAAGCGCGAGTCGTAATGACCGCAGCCTGTGCCGGTGTTGCTCCACGCGCCTCGGCAGCACGCGATGTCCCAATCGCAGCCACCAGGCCAGGCACAGCAGGCTCTTCCACGCCAGCAGCTGTGACGGCTGCGGCAATCTCCGCCTTCGACGGTTGGTCCGCGGACAGAGTGGCCAGCGCGTCTGCCACAGCAGCGGCACTCGAGTCATCGAGACCCGTGTCGACAGCGAGGCGGCAATCAGCCTCACGCCGAGCAATGCGCTTCTCTTCGAGAGGCCGCAGAGTTGTCCCTACATACTCGCGGAGTGCAACGACCTGCTCACGGAGTGACATCGGTGTAGTGCCAGCCAACATCGACGCAGGCAGCAGCCGCGCGATCTCAGCCTGCGCCTCGGCCAGCTCAGCCTTCAGGGCTCCATGCTCGGCCTTGCCCACAACAGCAAATGCAACCTCCTCTGCTACCGTGGCGTCCATACCAGTCTCGACAGCTGCAGCCGCCATTGTGGTCGTGTTCGCACTCTCCATCGCACGGGTTTGCGCCGCAATGAGCGCAGCCTGTGCCGGCGTTGCTCCACGTGCCTCGGCAGCACGCGATGTCTCGATCGCAGCCACCAGGCCAGGCACAGCAGACTCTTCCACGCCAGCAGCTGTGACGGCTGCGGCAATCTCCGCCTTCGACGGTTGGTCCGCGGACAGAGTGGCCAGCGCGTCTGCCACAGCAGCGGCACTCAAGTCATCAAGGCCTGCGTCGCCAGCGAGGCGGCAATCAGCCTCACGCCGCGCAATGCGCTTCTCTTCGAGAGGCCGCAGAGTTGTCCCTACGTGCTCGCAGAGTGCAACGACCTGCGCACGGAGTGACATCGGTGTAGTGCCAGCCAACATCGACGCAGGCAGCAGCCGCGCGATCTCAGCCTGCGCCTCGGCCAGCTCAGCCTTCAGGGCGTCAAGCTCAGTCTTGCCCATAACAGCAAACGCCACGTCCTCTGCTGCAGAGGCGTCGACACCAACCTCGACGGCCAGGTCCACAACTTCCGCCACGCTCGCACCCTGCAAAGCACGAGTCCGTGTCACCACGATTGCCGCCTGGGCCGGCGTCGCTCCCCATGAGCTTCCTCGCTGCACCGCGGCCACATCAGCAGCAAGTGGGGCAGCCATATCGTCCGCGATTCCAGCGGCGATTGCGGCCGCAGCCACGTTGGCTACATTCAGTCTACCCTTCATCGCGACAACCGCAGCTGCAAACTCTGAACCCTTTGTCGGGGACATGCCGTGCTCGATGGCGAGAGCCCTGTCGGCCTCAAGCCACTCAGTGTGGCGGGCATCCGCCGGCTGGAGTATGTCGCTTACAGCCTTGGCTGCGACTTGCAGCTGCTCGTCAAACGTTGCCGTCTCGGGCATATCCTCTAGTGACGCCAGTCGTGCAATGAGGGCACGCGCCCTCTCCTGCTGGCTCAGCGCAGCGACGACACTTTGTTCACCAGCGAGTGACGCAAGTACATCTGCGAGTCCCTCCATTCGGTCCGTGACGCTGCTGCTTTGAGCCACTTCGCCTGCCAGAAGCAACTCTAGTCGCTCGAAACGCGACCGTAGTGTCTCGCACTCCGCCTGCAGCTTCGCGAGCTCGTCTCGTCCTGCAACTGCAAGGCCCAGCTCTGCCGCCGCCGAGGGATCTAGCCCACCTTCGACGCCTGCCGCTGCGGCGCTCGCCACGCTCAGCTCGCCTGCATGCAGCTTGCCTGCAAAACCACAGCGTCAGCAGCACACATACCAAAGCCCATCGCGTCACGTGCTGCCATTACCGTCCGCGCAAACTCGGCTGCGTGCTCCGCCGTCAATCCGTGCTCCTCCGCGACGCTGACCGTCCCGGCGAGCGTGAGCTCGTCTCCGAGCGCAAACACCTCCGCAGCGACAGCAGATCCAGTCTCCACCCAAGTCCGCACTCGAGTGCCACGTACTCATACATCTCTTGAGAGCCTGCGTGTCGATCTGCAAAGTCCTCCAGTGCGGCCAGCGCCTCGGCAGCTGTCGCGCTTGCCGCAAGGCTCGGTACTATCCTCTGGACAACATACTGGATGGCCTTGTCGCCGGCAAGAGCCGTAATGCATGCGTGTGCATCGTCGGTGCTGACGCCAGACTTTCGACAAGCCGCCTCTGCACTAATCTCTCTCGTGGCCACCGACACCGCCGCGTCGAGCTCGAGTCCGTGCGCAAGGCCGACTCGCGTCGCCACCACACCACGAGCCACATCAGCCGCTACAGCGCTGCTCACGCCAGGCAACATGGTAACTTCCGTCAGCCTGGCAGAGCCAGGCTCGCTCTCGGCCAGTCGCGTCGCCAGCTCACGCGCATGCTTACTCTCCATCGCAAGTTCTTCCGCAGGCCGCTGCCATGCCTGCTGCGGCGCAAGCTCGAGTGACACACTCCGCACCAGCCGGACTGCATCGTTGCTGTCTAGGCCAGAAGCACGTGCTGCTTGTGAGATCTCATCCAGAGACACTGAATTGTCTGCGACTAGGCACCCCAGCCGCGCTGCCACTGCTTCGTCACCAATGCCGCAGGCTTTGGCAACACGTGCAGCGCGGACTGCGCCCATCACGCTGGCCACACTGGCATCGTCCACGCCACGCCGGGCTAGCTCGGCCTTCACATCGTCGTCGCTAAGGCTGCCTGCAAGTGCAGCAGCCACAAGCCCACGGGCGTCGACATTGGCCCAGTCGGCCACAATCGCCCCGCCGCTCGCGTGTGCGTTCTCGGCGTCCATCGTCAGCTGTGTACCGTTGCGCGCAACAATGGCCGACGCCACGCTCGCCACCACAGCATTCGGCACCCCGGCCTCGGTACACAGCTCTGCCACCGCAGAGTACGAGCCGGACGCGCCAGCCTCATGGACTCGAGTAGCCGCTGCAATAGCAACCTCGAGCTCCACGCCGCGGGCCACCGCCTGCTCCGCCATCACCAGAGCCTCAACATCGCTGAGTCTGTTGGCTAGCACTCGGCGATCACCCTCGCTCACGGAGCTAATCTGGTGCACGGCGTCGTGCGGGACTACCCGCGCCAACTCGGCTTTGGCACCAGCAAGCTCGTCTCGCAGCTGGGCCAGCTCGGCCTCGTACCGCGCACTTTCTGCGAGAACGGCTACTTGTCGGAGGGATCCACCGTGCTCAAGCGCAAACGCACACGCCGCCTGCGGACCGTCATCGCCATCAGTCACCAGTGCCGCCCACTCTGCCGCAGCATTCACCCCAAGCCCACAGAGGCAGGCCTGGCGCGCCAGGCGCACCTGGCGCGCAACAGCACCCGTCGCGACCTTGTCAAGACCGGCCGCCACGCAGGAGGCAGCAAGTGCCGCGACGTTTCGCTCATCGAAGCGCCCTGAAGAAGTCACAGCCGCAGCCAGCTCGTTTGCCGCCTCACTCGACAAACCGAGGCGGGTAGCAACAGCGGCCACAACTCCGAGTCCAGCGGTAGAGGCTGCGGCTGTGGCCAACCGCCGTGCATCCGCCTCATCCAAGCCAGCGGCAGTTGCTGCTTCCAAAACCGAGTGCGCCTTCCCCTCCTGGTGCGCCACGCTCGCAATCTCAAACGCGGCACTCGGGTCGAGTCCAACCGTCATCGCCTCGTGCGCCACGCTCACATCGCATGCAAGTCTTGCCGCCGCCGCATCACCCACACCTAGCGTCCTCGCTACGCGCGCAATCTCGCATGTCTCGGCCACTCCATCCCAGTTGGCGACGGCAAGTCCAAATTGCTCCGCGGCGTCTGTGCCAGTGCCAGCATCGACCGCGAGGCCTGTCACAACTTCGGCAAACTGGTCTGCATTAAAGCTCCGCCGCGCGTCGAGAACTACCCGAGCCAACTCGGCTGCTCCGGTGTCGTTGCCCACCCCAGCATGCCTTGCAGCGAGAATTATGTCTTCGCGCGTCCTCGCTCCATCGCTCGCGACCGCAAACTGTGCCGCAGACATAGGCTGCAGCCCACACTCGCTTGCTCGTCTCGCCACCTTGGCTGCCAGCAACCCGCGGCTGCCAACACCGCTCACGGCGGCAGCTTCGCCGAGCGACCCAATTGCGCTACCTGCCGTCGCCGCAAACGCCTGAGCGTTCTCGCGCTCATAGCCAAGCCCAGTCATGGTAACTTGGTCTGCGCGCCGCCACTCGTCAGACGTCCACCGCTCCACAAGGCTGCGTGCAAGACCAGAGCCGTTGCCGGCTGCATCGTGCATCCGTGCCTCGGCAGCCTCTGCAATCGAGCTTGCTGTTGAGCCACAATCCGCGAGCACCTCAAGCGCAAACCCAATCGCATCTCGCGGGGCCATCCCGTGCGCCACCGCCATGTGCGCGGCCACAAGTCCGCGTCCAGCGCGCTCGGCCTCTCCCAGGTCGTGCACGGCAGATTCAACAACGCTTGCGCGGGGCACTCCAGGGAGCACGCTGCTGCTGAGCATAGCCGCAGCCCCGTCGGCGGCCGCCCTATCACTCGCACCAAGCGCACGAAGTAGAGCACTGTCCATCTCGAGTATCGCTGCGCGGGCTTCGACGAGCTCGCGCGCAGCTGCAACCTCGACTGCACCAGCCTCAACTGCTGCTCGGCCGGCCACTGCGAAAGCCAGTTCGCGCGCCGGCTCTGGTGCCATGCTCAGCGACTCGGCCACGTCGGCAGCTGCACCAAGCTCAGCCTGCGACGCAAGTGCACCAGCCTGGACGCGGAGCGCAAACTGTGCACCGTCCATGGGTGCCATGCCGCGCACAAACGCATGCTCGGCAGCAACAATGCCGTCGGCCACGCTGATGACTGCATCCTCGGGCAAGCAGCAGTCCTTGCAGGCTGTGCGCACCTCGGCCGCAACTTCGTCGACAGAAAATGAGAACCGGTTTGCCACCACAGACTCGGCAAGCACCACCGCTGTCTCGCGTGGGACCCCGTGCCCGATGGCAATGATCTGCAACGCGCGCGCCCGCATCTTGTTCTCCCGCCCGGTAGCACACATGGCGACACGGGCCGGCCCGACTTCGGCGCGCAGCGTCTCGAGCTCAGTTTGCGCATTAGCCAACGACGTTTTGGCCATTGTCTCACTCTCGCGCATGAGCTGGCCCAACACCGCTGCCGCCGACTGCGCATCCAGCGCTTCCACATTGGCTGCCGGAAGCCCAAACGAGTCGACAAGAAGTGGAAGAAGCTCCTTGTGGGTTGCGGCCAGCCCGGCCGCTGCGTCCATCTTGGCTTGACTCGCTTCGACCTTGGCAAGTGTCGCCACCTCGGCCTGCTCGTGCAACTCATCCTCGAGTTCTGCCACAGAGGCCTCCAGTGCTGCCACTCGCGCCGTTGTTGCCGCTAGAGTCTCCACCAGTACCTCGGCAACTTGCGCCTGTACGCCAGGTGACGCTCCCGTCACAGTACCGGACTCGGTCCCGTGCAGCAGGCTCGACATGGCATCCACAGCTTCGACAAGCGCAGAAGCGTGGTCTCCGCTCGGCTCGTGGCGTGTCTGCGTCGACGTCGAGATCACAACCGGGATAGCTCGCCCCAGCCGTGCCGTCAGCCGCGCTACTTGCTCTCGCTCAGCAGTCACCACGCTGACAGCTTGGTCAAGCCCGCGCGCAAGACTCGCCACCTTGGCCTCCATAAACTCGATGTAGGGACCGGGTTGGAGCGCTGACAGTCCGGCATCAAGGGCGTCGGCGCGGGCGGCCATGAACGCCTCGACCGCTGCAGGCGTGGCAAGGCTTGCACCGAGCACGTTGTCCATGCCTGTGCTCTCCCAACCAGGCGTCTGGGTACCGCGTGTCGCGCTCTCGCCTTGCCCTGCCAGCCGCGGCTGCGGACTCTCGACAACGCTTGCAGCCCCGGCAGCCGCTCGCCGCGGGGTGATCGTTGCTGACCGCATTGCCGGAGGCGGCGACATGCCCAACGCTGGAATGTCTGGCAGTGCCGGTGCGCTCGATCGCGACGTGCTCGACGATCGCGACCGGGCCGAGACGTTGCTGAGGAGCGAGACCGAGTTTGACTGCGGACGTGCGCTGCCCCTGCTTTTGCGGAACATCGGGTTGCCCACCAGATACAGAGTGCAGAGCGCTCGGCAGGCGGCGAGCATCGTCGGCAGCTCGGTGAAAAGATTGTACGAGAGGTTGCATTCGATGAGCTCCAGCAGGTTGCAGCACGATGCAGGTAGCTCCCGCAGCTGGTTGTTTGCCACGTTGAGTCCACGGAGCGAGACTAGCGAGCCAATCGTCTCTGGCAGCGACGTCAGCGCGTTGCCCCGGAGATAGAGCCATTGCAGCGAGGAAAGGTGGCCGATGTGCGCCGGAACAGACGTCAGTGCGTTGTGCGAGACGTTGAGCTTGACAAGCGAGGCGAGGAGGCCAATCTGTGGCGGAAGGTCGGTGAGCTCGTTCCGGGACAGGTTGAGCTCCTCCAGATGCACGAACGCCGGAAGGAGTCCGCCGGGAAGGCTGTGGAGTCCGGATGCACGGAGGTCGAGCTTGTACCGCTTGCGCGCAAATGCAGTCTCGAGCGCCTCCACGATGACAGCCGCCTCGGCATCGTCGGCGGGCAGGCCGGTTGACTCCAAGACTTGCGCAAACCGCCCGCGCGCTTGCACTAGGTCGTGGATGGTCTTGGGCTGGCGCAGCACCCACTGCCGATGCTGGAGCGACCACTCGTAGTCGCCTTCTAGCCGCGTGGTGGTGCGAATGGCCCGGACAGCCTCGTCCTCTGCCAGGGCATGGTCCTCGCCCTCACGGGCGTGGTGGACCGCCAGCACCGATGCCACGCTCGTCGTCGATGAGATCGAGAGCGACCGCGGTCGCCCGACTTGCAGCGACACCGCACGAAGCCGCATGTGCTTGGCTCCGATGCCTCCTGCCAATTTGGCTGCCATCGTCTGAGACCGCGTGCCACGCGGCTTTTTCATAGCCCTCGCCACCAAGGCATTGACTCCGGTCAGCGGCGTGGCCGATGCCCTACCTGGTGAATCCGAGATCGATGCTGTCCGACCACGCCGATGCGACTCTCGCGCACCCTTTTCCGGCTGTGCATCCGCACGCCACCATCATAGGGACCTTCGTCTTCGCCATCGTCGATGTCCTCCGTGATCCGCAGCGGGGTGATCGGGCCCGAAGCGGCACTCGAGCCCGCGTCCGAGTCGGACATCGAACACGAGTCAGATTCTGAGTCCAGGCTTGTGTTCGCGCTTGAGGACGTAGCCGAGCCTGGAACTGGCGCCAGAGCACGAGTCACCGTCCTGGCCAGCGTCTCGACCCGGCGGCGGCGGGCGGCGGCGACGCCTGCCGCGGCGGCACGAACCTCGGAGCGAACCGCAGCTGCGGCAGCCGAGGCCCGGACAAACTTCGATTCTGCAAGCGTCAGCTCGGCAGCCGCTTCGCCCATGCTACTCTGCATTCCAGCGCTGGCAGCAGCAGCGACTCTGGCCTCTGCTGCCTTGCACACCGCCAGGGCGGTGTCCTCGGCAGCTTCGACCTGAGCGAGCGGACGAACAGCCGCCGTCAGGGCGTCAGCTGCCTGGCGGACAGCGCCCTGTGGAGCAGTTACGGCCGCCAGCGCCGCACCTGTTGCAGCCAAGCCTGCAGCATTGTCCATGAGCGCGTCCGCCGCTTCCGCCAGAGCTGGCACAGCGGCTACAGCGGCAGCAGGCAGGTCGGCGGCGGCCTGTTGCAACGCAGCGGTGTAGGCGGCGAGGGCGGCCGCGAGCTTGTGGGCGAGGGTCTCAGCAGCCTCATACGCCTCAACAGGTAACTCTCCTGGCACATGTTCTCCTCGTAGTGGGGATACTGTGTCCGACGGTCTTCCCGACATCTGGCCCTCTTCGCCAAGTGCGGTATGCGAACCTTGCCATGCCCGCATGCTCCGCCATGCGGCACTCGAGTCGGTTCGCCAGTTTCACCTGGCGAAGCCTCTGCAGATCGACCAGGCCCCAGAGCCCAAGTGGCAACATCCAGTGTGGCGGACTTTGCTCATCATCGCAGCTTGATGGCGACAACGGTTGGTCACGTCGGACTTTTGGCTGGTTGTTGCGGACAGAGACTGAAGCTTGCAGGCGCAGGGCGATGCGGTGGGCGAGCAGGGGCAGGTTTCGCTTTAGATGCCGCTGCCCGTCTGCCCACTACGAACTGTTAGAAGCGCACGCACAACCGATACAGCCCCGCGTATGCTCACTACCCTAATAGGCTCCTCGTTCAACTATCTCCTGTCGCATGAGCACCTTTCTCCCCCTCGATTGGTTCCACACCTCCACGTCTCCGTCCCCGTCGCTGTCCCCTCAGCCCTTTTCTCCAACCTCCTCCCTTCAATCACCATCATCACCACCATCGCCACCACCATGGTATCCCACCACTATCCACCACTGTCACCATCAAAACAACCACTGCCACCGCGTCTGCCACCGCCTTTACCATCACGATCACCATCGCCGCCACCATCATCCTTCCTTTACCTCCGAACCCTCCCCCCTCCCCTCTTCCTCACCCAAAACACGCGCCAACCCATGCCGGGCGCCTTTCACCGCCCACCACCCCGCTCCCCGCACACACACACGCACGCACACACATACGCACAGGAGACCGCCATGAGTGCTGCCGAGGGAGAGTTTGAGGGACTGCATTTGCAAGTCGAGGACCCCGGTGTGGTGTGGGAAAAGGTGGAGATGCTGGGCGAGGGCGCGTATGGGTATGTGTTCAAGGCCCGCCACCGCAAGACGGCCGAGGTGGCGGCCATCAAGGTCATCCCGCTGACCGATGGAGGGGTGGGCCTGGCAGCCATCAAGAAGGAGGTGGCTATTCTCTCGGCCTGCGATCACTCGAACATTGTCAAGTTCTTTGGCTCGTATCTCAAGGACAACGAGCTGTGGATCGCTATGGAGTACTGCGGCGGCGGCTCGGTCCAGGACATCTACGCTGCGCTCCGCGCCCCGTTTCGCGAGGACCAGATCGCACTCATTCTGCGCGAGGTCCTGCTTGGTCTCGACTATTTGCACTCGCTCAAGAAGATCCACCGCGACATCAAGGGCGGTAACGTGCTGCTCACCGAGCACGGTCAGGTCAAGCTCGCCGACTTTGGCGTCTCTGCCCAGCTCAACAACACCTTTTCAAAGCGCGTCACCTTTATCGGCACTCCGTACTGGATGGCGCCCGAGGTCATCTACGAGGAGGAGACCTATGACGGCCGCGCAGACATCTGGTCTCTGGGCATCACAGCCATCGAGATGGCCGAGCTCGCTCCGCCGCACGCCAACGTCCACCCGATGCGCGCCCTGTTTATGATCCCGACCGGCCCGCCGCCGCGCTTCCGCCAGCCTGCCCGCTGGTCCGCTGCCTTTCGCGACTTTGTCAAGCGCTGCCTGACCAAGAACCCGGAGCACCGCCCCACCGCTGCAGAGTGCCTACAGCACCCGTTTGTGACCAACACCCGCCACCGCGCCATCCTCCTCGAGCCGATAGAGCGCGCCAAGCGCATTCGTGCCCTTCTCGCTGCCAACATTCCGCTAGACTCGCCCGAAATGCGAGCAGCACTTGCCGAGCCATCGCCGGGCCTCCTTCCGGCACTCGCCCCAACACCGGCGCCGCGCTCGCCTCCGCGCTCGCCTCCGCGCTCGCCTCCGCGCTCGCCTCCGCGCTCGCCTCTGCGCTCGCCTCTGCGCTCGCCGCACCACCCAGCTCGCGACCACGCGGCAAAGGCGTCGCCAGTCTCGTCCTATGAGCCGTCGTTTTCGACCGCCGACTCACTCTCGGACGAGCTTCTCCACGACTCGGCCTCGGACACCCTGCACTCACACGACTCGTCGGACACCGAGCTCTTTCGCGACTCGCTGCGAGAGGTGGTCAAGACTGCGCGTCAGCTCGAGTCAGAGGCCGCGGCGCGTGGTCCAGTGAGCGATGCCCTGGCGGTCAAGTACCAAGAAGCGGCCGGCGCTGTCAGTGCACTACAGGCGTCGAGCCAGGCGCAGGAGGCCAAGATGCAGACAACACTCTCGGAGCTGGCCGGCCTCAAGGCGCTGTACCTGGAGACGTTGACCAAGCACCGCTCTGCTGCGGCCGACAACGCCCGCCTCGCAGCCAAGCTTGCCGCTACCGAATCGGCCCTCGCCGCCGCTGAAGCCCGCAACCTCGAGCTCCACCAGGCCCTCGCCGCGCCCACCACCCCGCCGCAGTCCAAGCCGTCGCACACCGCCCTCCTCGCCCGCAACAACGAGCTCACTGCCGAGCTCAACAACCTGCGGACCGAGCTCATGCTCGCCAACCTCGAGGTGCAAAAGCTGCGCATCCGCATCGGTCTCAACTCCGCCACCGCCGCCGCATCCCCTGCCTCGCCTTAATCATCTGCCATCCTCGCACGTTGCGTTTACCCGGCCGCCTCCCTCCTACTTGGAGCCGGCCTTGAGCATCGACTCGAAGCTCGCTCTGTCCGAGCCGTCGATCATCATCCCGCACTTGATGCATCGCCCCTGCACCGCGCAGCAATCGGTGCAGAACGGTGAGGTCTGCATGGCGCCCTGGTTGATGGTCACGCCTGCCATGCATCCATCGCCCTCGCACACGGCCGGCTTCGGAGGCGCAGCGCCTGGCAGGTACTCGCGCGGCTCGTCGCGGCAACGCTGGCAAATGCTCTCACTCATGGTAACAGCCTGTTTGTCTGCTGTCTTGGTAGGGGAGGGAGGGGCTTCTGTGGCGACAAGCCGTGTGGTGAGCGGTGTGGTGATTGGTGCGGGTGGGGGGGGGGGGGGG